TCACCCTAACCCTAACCAATCAGATTTTTTAGCTTCAACATCAGCCAAACTTCAGCATCAGCCGTCACAATAAATAAGTATAGATTACATCTTACCTCTTCCAAAAAATCCATCGAATTCTGAAAATTATGCAATGCTTTAAGGTCAACTATACGTGATTGTGTGTATTCTTTTTTTCCTGAAATTATTCGTATGCCATCTATCCAAGTCGCTAAAAATTCATCACCAATTTTTTGAATTTTATCTAATCTATTAAAAGGAATCCACTCAATCACATCCTCATATTTTGTGGTTTTAAGTTGAAATTCTTTAATGAAATCATCAATATTCTTATTTCCACTTGTCCATCCTTGAGCTGTCTTAGGAGGGTCACAAGTCTGACACCAAGCTAGTGATGTGTTATATCGGCGACAATATGCACATTTTCCATTCAACTACTTCTTTTGGATTCATTAAATAATATCATATACTCATTATTGATTGTATTTTGAGTTAACCCGTATACTTTAAGTTTATCATCCATTATATAATTATTAAACTTATTAGATAGAAAAATATTAATTTATAAGTACATGAAAATAAAGATGCATATAATAAAATTTATATTACCTCTTTCAAAAGACTCGTCGAATTATGAGCACTTTGCAATATTTTAAGTGTAATTACGCATAATGGTGTACGTGTACTCTGTCTCTTCTCCTGAAATTATTCGTATGCCATCTATCCAAGTCGCTAAAAATTCATTACCATTTTTTTGAATTTTATCTAATCTATTAAAAAGAATCCACTCAATCACATCCTCATAGTTTGTGGTTTTAAGTTGAAATTCTTTAATGAAATCATCAATATTCTTATTTCCACTTGTCCATCCTTGTGTTGCTTTATAAGGGTCACACGTCAGACACCAAGCTTTGGAGGTATTAAATCGATTACAATGTGCACATTTTCCTTTCCAATAACTTCTTTCGGAATTAAAATTATCAAATACTAAGATATACTCGCTAGTAACTGTGTTTTGAGTTAACCCATATACTTTAAATCTATAATCCTCTATGTAGTTCTTAAACTTACAGTATTAAACAGAAAAATATAAATTTATAAGTACATAAAAATAAAGATGCAAATAATAAAAATTTTATCCTACCTCTTCCAAAAGATTCATTGAATTATGAGCATTATGCAATATTTTAAGTGTAATTGCGCATGGCGGCTTACGTGATTGTCTATACTCTCCTCGTATTCCTGAAATTATTCGTATGCCATCTCTCCAAATTGCTAAAAATTCATCACCATCCATTTGAATATTATCCAATCTATTAAAAGGAATCCATTCAATCACATTCTCATATGCTGTGGCTTTAAGTTGAAATTCTTTAATGCAATCATCAATATTCTTATTTCCGCTTGTCCATCCATGTGTTGCTTTATAAGGGTCACACGTCCGACACCAGGCTTCAGATGTGTTATATCGGTTACAATGTGCACATTTTCCATTTAAATAACTTCTTACAAATTCATTAAATACCAACATGTACTTATTATTGGTCATATTTTGAGTTAACCCGTATACTCTAAGTTTATCATTCATTATATAGTTATTAAACTTATTAAATAGGAAAATATTAATTTATAAGTACATGAAAATAAAGATTCACATAATAAAACTTTATCCTACCTCTTACGAAATATCCATTGAATTATACATGTAATTACGTACCGTATAAGCGCGAAATAACGCCCATGGGCGGTATTTTGAAAATCAGGACTCTCAAAAATAGCATATGTAGCTTCGAATTAATGCCCATGTGCGTCCCGAATTAACGCGCATCCCCTTATAAAAAATAAAAACGTAAAAAGTGCACCAGAACTGGATTTGGTACTAAGTAAACCTAGTGTTACAAAAATGTAGATCGGATCGGATTCGGATTTAATCTGATCTCAACCGTCGGATTAGTATTGGCCCAGAAAATTCGGATTCGGCCCGGATTGAGCAGGATTGGGCCCGGATTTGGGCCTAATTTAAAATTAAGGTACAATTTTTTTTTTCGTTTCAAGCTTGTTAACGTAATGTTAGATCTAAATAAGACTCACGATCTATCAAGAAACTTTAACTTTAAACTCAAATTAACGAAAAAAGTGGCAGTCGAATTTATATTCGACCAGGAAAATACTAATACTTCAAGTTCTAATGGTATGGCCAATTCGCAATTAACACTACCTTTACCAAATTATTTATCCAGATCGTTAGATATAAACTTAATCGGTTGTTAGTAGTATATTTTAGACTTGTTTGAGAACTATTTGGTATTGTGAATCAGGTGCATTTTATTAAATCCAACCAAGCATTTTCGAAATTAAGGTTTGCTTGATCTCATTCGTATTATATATTTAGTTTGTTCTTTGACAATTTCAATTGTTTATTTCTCAAAAACTTACTTTTACCGAATTATTTATCCAGGTCATTAGATATTTGTTTACTTTAACTCAATTAGACCACTAGATATTATATTAAGCTCACTTAAGAAGTTTCTAAATAACATGAATCAAGTGTATTCTATTAGGTTTGGCCTATGATGATACCCGATTTCTTTTATGGATTGAGTTTACTGAGGCCACTGAAGTATTCTATGAGTTACGAATCAAATTTCAATTGGATATATTAACTCAGGTCATTGATTTATGCAACGTCTCCTTCAACATTGCAATCTTAGTACTTTGATTACCGGACAGGCGGTTGTCACGATTTATCAATTCTTTTAATTGTTGATTTTTAGTACTTGAATTAAGCAAATCTAATATGCCTCATCGTCAAAATTAATTTCAGGTCTTGTTATCTTGATTAATTCATGAAGGTGCTTAATTTCACCTTGTTGCTCAGTGAGTTTGTGTTGAATACGATCATTTTTCTGACTAAGCTTTTTAGCCCGATTAATAGCTCTATACCAGCCAGTACCATTTTGTTGAAGAGTTTGTGTAGCTTTATCGGACTCTAATAGTAATTTCCTGTATTCTTTTAATTCAATTTTCAAGATCATGATTTTGAATCTTTATATCTACATTCTATTAAATATTATGAATTTAGTTTGTTTTGACAATTCGATTATGCATTTCTCAAAAACTTTACTAAATCATTTATCTGAATCGTTAAATATTTTGAATCAGGTTTATTTGACTTAATCATTTGCTAGCATTACATATTAGGTGTTTGAGAAGTCTTTGGATAATGTGAATCAAGTATATCCTATTAAATTCGACTAAGAATTTTTGAAATTAAGGCCTATGATGATACCTAATGTTTTGTGTAAATTGGACTTACTGAGGCCATTAAAGTATTCTATGAGCTGGGTTACTGTTATGAATTAAATTCAATTGGATATATTAATTTGGGTTACTATAAATTAATTTACTTCTTTGACAATTCAATTATGTATTTCTCAAAAACTTACTTTACTAAATCATTTATCTGGATCGTTAGGTATTTTGAATCAGGTTATTTGACTCAATCAGTTGCTGGTACTAAATATTACTTATTTGAGATATTGTGAATCAAGTATATTTTAATAAATTTGACATGCACTTTCAAAATTAAATAAGGCCTATGATGATACCCAATTTTTTGTATAATTTGAGTTTACTGAAGCCTGTTGAATTATTATATGAGCTGGGTTATTGTTACGAATCAAATTTAATTAGATTAGGGTAGCTGCGCAACGTGTGATGCCGCGCAGGACCAGTACAATCATGTATGCATGTGTAAATTCGATTATTCTTCACTAAGTAAATTAAATCAAATTATATTACTGATTCTTCGTAACTATAAT